ACACACACACACACACACACACACACACACACACACACACACACACACACACACACACACACACACACAAAAGGCCCCCTACCTGCTCTGTAGCCCTGAGAGTTTTGAGTCCCCCCGGAGGTCTCCAGCAGACAGGGGCGGCCTGGTATTGTGAATCTACGTTATTTGCTGCACTACAAGCAAGTAGCGTCCCGGTCGCCTAGGCGATGACATTGGAGCTGTTGAAAGCTATGTGAAAAGTGTGGCAAGGGCTTGCGCTCTCCTTCCTGGAACACAAGGGAGTTACAAGGGGGTGGGGAACGCTCAGCCAACTGTGCCTGGGAATTAAGATGGTCACTTAGGCCAAGCAAGGTTGGCTCATCTAGGGCTCCAGAAATGCCCAGCCATTCAGTACCGTTGAGCAGCAGAGTGCACTGCCCTCACAGTAAATATACCCATGAAAGGAGAGTCTCTGTTTTATTAGTGTTTAATCAAATACTGTGAGAATGAGGCTGTTATCACAAGGCGATAAGCTCACGCTCAGAAGCCGAGGAGTTTTCTCTCTCTCTTCAGACAGTTGTTGAATAGTATAATTTATCACAGGCACGTGGACTCCGGTGACATCTGAATGCTGGTGGGAAAAACTGACCTACTAAGCTGTGCCTAGAGCAGTCACCAGTAAAGACCACTCCATTTCTGATTGAAAACAACAGGGAATGTCCATCTGGAAAGCACTGCAGAACCTCCAACTAAGACGCTAATTATCTTTGCATTACAAAATTGTTGAATAACTTCTTATGTCTCTTGTCCCTGAGTTATCAGTTTTGCTGATGTTTATGTGCTTAACCGCATTCAAACACTTGAAAAAGGAAGCTGAAGTGTATTCATTATTTTAAAAACATCATTTGAACTTGTTTGCTTATCCCCACTCAGTGTCTACCAATAACCAAAAGTCTGTACTTAGGCATCCCCAAAGCATACTTAATGGGACAGACTTCTGTCTGTTGTTAAAATAGTCAGATCTTTTATTCCCACATATATAGTCAGGTGCGAACTAGATGATCTGATTTATTCATTATAGGTTGACATTTACAAGGGTCTGAATGCATTAGCGTTGACAACATGTTCATATTGCCTGAGATGAACATAAAATCCTTGCGTTTATTGTCACAGGTGAAAAACATGCTTCATTTTCAAAGGCCCCACTTGGCTGCAATAGATTATGAGAGTAATGCCTTTTGATGGAATATATTTGCACATATTCTTAACCTCGTGTGAAATTTGTTTATATTGTGCTTTCTGTGTAGATTGCAAGCTCCTCTGGACAAGGACTGTCTCTTTGGATAGATGTTTGTACAGTGCTTAGCACAATGCGGCCCTGCTCTAAGATTGCGGCCCTTGGCACTACTGTGATTTGCGTTATTTTCAGAGTGCCCATTTGGTGCTGTAGGCAGAGGAATCTCTTTAATGCCCCCTGTGCTGGCCACACATGACAGGCAGCAGCTTAATACTCTGCTCTCTCTCAGTGGCTGGCTGTACAGCTTGGCCTACGGAAGCAATGTGATTTCAGTTTCAGAGTCTGAGAGGTTTGTATGAACAGTGCAGAACTGCACTGGGGAAGCTGTTGTCCCTGCCCCAAGGAGTCGACACTCCACAATCCAGCCCGAGTAGGAGCAGTTCAGACCCACAAGCACACCGGGGGCTGTGCAAGGGCCTCACAGTGGTCTCTGCTGGGTGGAGTGAGCTCTGGGGAGGGATGTGAAGAAGGTGCAGGAAGTCACATGACACATGGGAAGAGAGAGAGACTGTTTCAGGTAGGGGGTGGTGGGGAAGCATAGAAGGCAGTGTCTAGGTGACGGGGAGGAGGATGCAAAGGGGTGGCCAGGAAGTATGCTTGGGCTGCATGAGGGGTGAGCTGGCAAAGATGCAGGGGGGAATGTGGCTGTGCTGGGCCTGGCAAGGGAGGGGAGGAGAGGTCCACCCTGGATGCCGGAGGTGCAGAGAGGGCAGGGCAGGGAGCTGGAGGTTGCACCAGTGCAGCCAGGGCAGGGGCCACTCTAGTGATAGGAGAACCTCCAGCTAATATCAGCCCTTCCTGGAGGGAACTCTCTCTGATTGGCTGCTCTTCAGCAGGAGGTAGGGCAGTGGGCTCTAGATATTGGCTCTAGACTGTGATCGACAGCCAGGCTAGAAGCTGTTGTAACTTCAGTGAAATATAAATACTTCCTCCTAAGAGACTCAGAATGAATGGTACTTTTAACCACACTGGGGCAAAGAAAGAAAGAAGCCAATGGGAATTTGTTTTTATGCAACAGTCAGGTTCAAAAAAGACTTCACATATTACCTCACTAATTCAGAATAACAATCTAACTGAGATCTTGAGTGACCCAGAAAGAAAGATAAAGAGGACACTATCTTGCGCTATTTGAAGTCAGTGGACATAGTATCAGGCCAATAAGGCAGGTACAGTTTCAACCTGAATTATCCATTAAATATTTCTTTGAAAGATAGTGGATCAAATTCATCCCTGGTGTGACCCCAGGGATGTTACAAACAGCGTGCAAATTAAACTGTTATAAAACAAGGATGCAATTTAATTAACTGTTAAACTGAAATTAAGCATGACTTACACCTTTAACACTGATTTTAACATAGAGTAGCCAGTCTTCCCTCACTTTATTTAAACTCAAATCCACTTTGCATTTTTCTCAGAATCTTATGAATTTCCCTTTTTATCCAATTTTTGTTTACCAATATATTTCACTTTTAATTTGCAGTCTCACTATAAAAACCGAGGGAAACTTTCACAAGTTGATGTCTCTTCTCTCATTACTGCCAATAATTAGTCAGGAGGAGGCTGCTCATGATCAGAAATTAAGAATCAGGAAGCAAGTTGGAACATGCTTTCTTAAAATATATTGATATATATATATGGGACACTTCTAATTATGAGGCAGTTTTGTTGACATTTGTGGACTGTAGTGAATGAGGAATGTGAAAGGAGGAATGAGAAAATTGGTGTCTAATCATGGTGTTGCATATCACATCTTATTAAATAGTGTGCTGCTTGCTTATTCTATTTGCATAATAATTATTAGTTTAATCTCTGGTCCTTATCATTTGATTATCAGACTTCACATATAAATTGTTGCTAAAAGCAATATACGTTCAATAGCTGTCTATCTCCCATTTCTTTATTATTCAAATAACTGTATTTTATATACCAGATGGAAGTTTGTTTAGATAATGATATTCTCCTTTGGATGTTGAGGTTAAGTGGAAAGGAAGAATAGTTTTGCGGTTAAGACATTGGACTAGGATTTAGGAGAGCTGGGTTCTCTTCCAAGCTCTGCCCCTGACTTTCTGCTGACCTGGACCAAGTCTCTTCTGGCTGGATCTTTAAAGGTATTTAGATACCTAAAGATGCCTTTCAAAATGTGGCCCTAGGAGCTTTTGAAAATCTCAATAGGTGCCTATCTGCATCTTTCAGTGCCTAAATACCTTTAAAAATCTGGCCCTTAGGGTCCTAAATCAGTGGAACTTAGGCCCTTGAGACATTTAAATTTGACACTAGGAAGTTTTACCTCTAACTGGTATAATTAAAGAGCTACAACCCTCTAGTGTGGATGTCTTTATACTGGTATTGCTATTCTCACACTGGCGTAAGGCACCTTCATATTGGTATAATGGCATCCACACTAGGGATTGTACCACTTTTATTATTTTGGTGAAGAGTCACATGCTAACCCGTGTGTAAACCAGGCCTAAGAAGAGTTTGGTTTTGAGGAAGTTGAGGCAGGGCTAGTCTCTGCTGGGCCAACATCACAGGTGACGGAAACACTGGCTGTAACTCTAAATGTAAGAACGGCTTCCTGATTACATAGAGAGGTTCCCCCAGAGAGTCTCTCCCAGGAGAGCCCACTGCAGCCAGAAACAGCAGGCGGGAAATTAATCACAGCAAAGGTAATAAAGTGAATTGAATCTCCAGATGGCACTTGGCACAAAACATGTTGTTCTCAGATGCTGAGAATACGTTCAGATTGCAAAGGGGGAAAACACCTCAGACAAGGCGGAGAAACTTCTAAGTCATTATACATTCTGTGGATACTGTGCATACATCATGCTCTGAATTGACTGTAGTCTTCTTAGCAGCAATGAACTTCTAATTTATGCCCAGGTGCAAATAACAATGACATTGGAGTGGTTATTATTCTGGCTCCACCTAACCTAGGGGCAGAATATTCATTTAAGAAAGATATTTTCCCTAGGGACATCAGTTATTAACAATTTTCTTTTCTATAGCACCTTTCATCTAAGGATCTCAAAGCATTTTACAAACATTAAGACTCTCAAGCACTCATTATACCCATTCTACATATGGGTAAATTAACACACAGGTAATTCTGGTGACTGGCCCAATATCAGCATATCAAAATCAAGACTGATAACAGAAACCAGGAGTCTTGCTCTGAGAAATAGGAATTAGGAAAGTATTATACGGTATTAGCCTCTGCTTGGATGGAAAGGTTTATCTGTCAGCTATGGAACATAAGGCCAAGTGACTATTATATTAGGCCTGCCCCATTGGCTTTGTAGAGTTTTCACCTAGTCTTTCCTTCTGGTTTGTCCTTGTTCTTGGTTTAGAACCAATCCCATTCACCAGCTGCTTTGGGGGACAAAGTCTACAGTAGAATGGACTAGCAACATTATCCTGCCCGCTAAGATACACTTCTTTTCCTCCCTCCTTTGAATGAGGAATGAGGACATTGTATATTCAGTCCTTCTAGGGAGATGTGTGATATGTCCTGGATGGAAGCTGGAGGAAGTGGGGTTTTTTGCATCTGAAGAAGTGGGGTTTTTACCCACAAAACCTTATGCCCAAATAAATTTGTTAGTCTTTAAGGTGCCACCGGACTCCTCGTTGTTCTTCCAGGGAGAGAAAATTTATGAAGGTGGATAATCTGTCTCCTCTAGAGCTCTTACTGAAACTCTGAATTTTACTGTTCTGCTCTGTGATCTTTTAAGAAAACAACAAAGTAAAAACAAACAAAGAACTAAACACTCCTATCAAATACATCTTAAAATGCTTCCCTGTCTGCCAAATCTCTCTATTTTTAATAATTTCTGCAAACATATTGTTGAATTGGAATAATGCCATTTCAGTTCATTTTTTGTTTGTTAAAGAAACCCAAAATATAAATAGGTTTGTAAGGATTAGATTTTTATCTGTGAATGTCAGTAAATGTTGATTCCACCATACACATAAACCAAAATATTTCCATTTATAATAATCAAATTTTACAGTTACGCAAAATAAGAAAAATTCTGCTTGAGAACTTATTAGAGTTTGATTTAAGGATATTTATTTTATATTTTGACATGTGAAGTTGACAATTTGTGTTTTAATGCTTATCAATATTTAACTTTTTGAATCGCAATGTCTACTGTAATTAGATAATTGTTTAATCCCTTATTATCTGGACCCCCCTCCAGAATCTCCGGCAACTATGAAAATTTAAATCAATAAACATTGAAAAAATGCTTGCACCCTTAATTTTCCACTACTGTGAAAATTTAAATAAATAAAAAATGTAAATAGCTTCAAAATAAACATTTATATTATCCATCAAAATGATATTAAAAATCAAATTCTGCCAAGCTGAAATATAAACATTATTTGTGATAAGGAAAAGTCATACACCTATCCCGTGAGGAGGAGAAGCAGAAGTTCCCACCTTTGACTGACCAAGGATACGCAAATAAAATCAAGTAACATCTCAGAGTTAGGAAAAGGTATGGTGGTGTTTCTAAGTGATGCAACCGCTGATGGAATTCTCCATTGCAAAATAAAATTGAAACCTAGGCAGCACTAGCCTAACCTTTGTCACCTCTCATGTTCTGCTAATTCTCCAGAGAACACTTCTCTATCTTTGTTTTAAAAGTTCTGTTAAATTTTGTAGCTTGGCTTCCTCACCTGTGTAATGTTCCTAGTTGGTTATATTGGCATCCATGGTAACAACCATAGTAACAGAATACAGTTCACTCCTGCAGGGTCATTAACGTGCTCTCTCAGGATTAAAGTGATTGGATCTGGAATACACACTGTGGACTACATTCTTCTCTCAGTTAGAGTGGGGTAAATCTAGTGTGTAACTCCAGTTAAGTCAGTGGGTTAAATTCTGCCCTGAGTTACACCAATATTAATCAGAAGAAACTCCTTGGTAGTCAGTGGGCCAGGCCAAATTTTGCTGTCATTTATACTGGTGTAAATTCTGATTAATTTGATTTTCTTCAGTCTATTGGATTTATTTTGACTTCAGCAGGGTAAAGTACTATGCTCAGATACTGCGGTGATGATGACCATCAAAATACCTAGGTAGATAAGGATACTCCAAATTTATACCACAGTGAATGAGAGCAGAATTTGGGCTAGTACTGTTATAAGTCTGTCCTGCTTTGACCAGAACATCTTTTTGGGCAAGGAGCATTATTTTCCTTATTTCACAAAACAGTCTTTCCCACCCACCCCCTTCAGACAGATCCTTTATATAAAATGTGTCTGCTAGAAATCAGCCACTCTGAAAGCTTGCAACATAATTATAGGTTTACCCCCCAGGAGATTCTGATGTGTAAATCCCCATCCTGCAACAGATTCAAGACATCACCTTGGCTCTGA